GGGAGAGAGAGAAGGGGGAGTAGGTTATCTCCCCAAAAGACCGCCAACATAACTGTGCAATTAGCATCTTGACAACTGGCGCCAATCAAATTTTGCCCAGCGAAAATATTGATTTGAGGAGCGTCATTTGAATCGGGCGTTCTTTGACCACAAGGGTGATTATTATTTATGCTCGTTGCAATTATACTCACGTACACAGAGGCTGACTACCATTGGTCAAAATTCTGCTTTCTCCTCTATTATATTTCATATTTTTACTTGTTCAATTCACCTCTCAGTCGAATTTCTCGAATGAATAGGCTACTTCATTGAACTATCACAATTAACCATTGTCCATTAGAAAAGCACCTTAGATTTGAAAGCCGAAAAGGAATTACTAGCTACAGAGGTTGTTTTGTGAATATTCGCCTCTTAATTCACTTCATCAAATCAACACAATCTTTTCCAAACTCAAAATTCAATAAACATGTTCTTTTAGTGCTAAAATGTAACCTCCTCTTTCCTCAACAATTATAAATAAGCCTTTTTGCCTCAAACCTCCCTGGTTGACTCACGAGAGAGTTGAATGAATTTCCTCCTCCCTGAATCTCAACTGTTGATCACGTCAACTCACCTCATTTCGTCTTGTTCCACTAACTCCAGAATCGATCAGTATTAACTTAACCAAGTGGTGTGACCTGAATCGAGTTAACAGAGTGAAGCATGATTCCTCAGCTCAATCTCCTTCCAATTGATTCCTTCTTCATTCGCCAAATGACTAATTTAGTGTTCTATGCACTCCTCCAAATTTAAAGGTGTAAAGTTTGGACTTTCAGCTTGCAGAAGTTGTGATAATATATGAGAAAATATTGGAGATTGGGCTATTTTTAATATTCCGATTTTATATCTGAAGTGTAAAATATTGCAGTGCTTAGTATTGAACTATTAACCTTTGGGTGCACTAGGACCAAATGAGTCTTGAATAGTGGGAAGAATTTGCGGCGAGCTGTTGGAACTGTCGAAATCCCTCGTGGCTATTTGACTGGAAGATCTCGAAGATTTGCCATGAAAGACCGTTTCCAATAGTTCATCTAGCCTCAATAAAGCAGACATTGGAGCTTCTCCGGAGAAATGTTGCAAAATTGTCAGAGAATTGTTTACAGCTATGGAAGGGGAAAAACAAATTATCGATTAGCAATAAGTCTGCATACTCAGGGGGCAATTTTTGACTTTCGAGACTCACAGTTAAGAGCTGATTGGCTTACAGTTGACCAATCAAACAAACTAGCTATCCAAAGATTTCGATAGAGTTTAGATTTTAGTGAATCCGAGTCGTGAGAATTTGAATAGGCAGAGAATTCATCAAGTGATGCTGTAGATAAATTACCTTGAATACATTTGTGTGCCACATTAAGAAGGTAAGTGAAGCAATTCAAAGTTACCTGGGTTTCGAGTAAATAAATAATCGACCAATTGTCGGAAAACTGCGTTCAACTTTCGGAATTGATTGGACTCTGTGGGCTCTCGTTGTTCAATAGACACTGAAGATATCTATCAAAAAGTAATAATAACTTTTGTTGAAGTAATGGAAGACATTCCTCGAAGAGAACGTTTTCCATGTGACGAATACATCAGAATTATTGGCCGATGCCAAATTATTTTAGGGGACATAATTTAAACTAACGGTGTTTCATGTTACCAGAATATGGAAAATGTTTAAATAATTCGCCTTATGACCTTGATTTGGGTAAAATAACACTAAATGCAATGAGCGTGCTGACGCACTTGCTAAGAAGGGGACTACAATTTTTCAAGGCATAGACCGGCCGATGTCTTCCTACACACAATTAAGACCTTAATTAGAAGGGAATTCAAGACCTCAAGGCGCAACAAACTTAAAGCACGAACAAAGGAGAAACAGTGGACAGTGGCACCCTCTGACATAGCCGACTGGCCAAGAATCGAATCCGTGGCTGAGTTTAGACTACGTACCGGACACGATTGTCTGGCAAAGCACATTCACAGATTAAAAGTATACACTCAGCCAACATGCCCCCTATGTGACCTACAGGAGGAAATAGAGAAGACCTACCTGATGCAATGTTCAGCTCCAAACACAACGACGGAAACCCAGATATACTGAGAAGCCAGAAGACAACTAATGAGCTACCATTAACTGTCCTAAAGCCTATATATTTATGTTCCTCCCCCCCCCCTTGGGGAAAGCTGAAGGCGCTAGAACATTCTGGAAAGAACAGTCGGCTACTTCTCATGTAATAATCAGATGCGGCCGTGTGGCTGATGCGCAAATGAGGTCACAAGACCTCTCAGTCAATCAAAAATCAATAGTCACGGCGTTGTCAATGTATTTAAGGTCTTATCACCGCATCAATAGCACACAGTCCAAATAAGCGTGGTCCACGCCATACGTCTGTTTCTTCTACGTCGGTGAGATAGTTTACCTACCTCTGGGAGCCTTTCCCTACCAGAGCAGCTTGTCATAAAGATTACCGAGGCGAAGTCAAGGCATAGAAGTGTAGCATTTCACAAAACTGGTACTTAAAATTCATCTAATTGAAAATAATTAAATGAGTCCGCAGATTTCAATCGCATAAGATTGAAAAGAAAGTTCTGGCCACGATTACACGCCCAAAGTTCAGCTTTCCCTTCTAGATTATCGTGGAAGTAAAAAGGATTAGACTAAGAGTAATTACCATACCGATTTAGTGGGAATCTCCTCCTCCTCCTCCTCTCGAGTTGCCCTGTTGAATTCCCATCCAAGTTGAAACGCACTAGCACAAATATTGACAGACAATGAATCGATTCCTTCACTCGTTGGTAGTTTTGCTGCCACTGGAATTTGGCGCAAATTTGTTGATCGGGCTTTTAAATTCTATTTAAAATCAAAACAAAACAAAAAGTGAATATCAAATCAAAGAAAATTTGATTAAATAAAGTTCAAAATAATGAATCGATCGGGGAGTAATCTTTCCAAAAGCCGAAGAGAATTGTGACCAAATTATGCAAACAAAAATTTTCGAAACTCATTAACAAATTTCTTGAAGCAGTCACAACTTTGAATAGTGAGGAATAATTAGTAAATTCGGCTCAATTGAGAGCTCCAGAAGCATGAAACGTAATTGGAACTTCTTGCAAAACCTTGTCAGACCTCAAAGAGGGCACATCATATCTTTGGAGGCTAATCGTGATCAATTAGTCCCATAGTCTTTACTATGTGGCCCAAAGATGAGAGGCTGAGCGCCATAACATGTGTTAAAACAGCGGCAATTAAAGTGCTATAAGGAAGAGAAATATCTACGCAATAATTGAACACACTAAAATGGCACCACGACACCACTTCGATTTCTTATCAGAGCTAATTAAGGCCTCAAATTAAGCGATAATAGGATTGAAAAACACCAAACCTCAAGCATAATCTCCCTCGATGATTAGAGTGGACACAAGAACGTGAAATAACTCATTACTTCACGACTGCCAAAGCAATAGCATGTGGGAAGAAATTGTGGGTGTTGGGGGTGGTAGGTAGGGTGAGGTGGGTGGGGGGGGGGGGGGGGGGGGGGGGGAGTTGGAGATTGATTTTATGTTTTCCGTGTGTGTGTGTTGGGATTTTCAATCATGCAAGTCGGTTTCTCCTGTCTTGTTAAGTAGGCGGATAGGAAATCCATTAGGGGCTTGCGTGACTTGCTGAGAAGGGACAATTAGTTTTAGTAGCAGCCAACAGAGTAGTGGGGAGGACTAAAAGGGCGCGCACATGAGGCCATTTTTAATTCCACTTAGGCGTCGACTTGGAAGTAATGAACATTTAGGCATGAATATTGAGCACAATAGAGACCTGTGTAGGAGGAAATGTTTCCCCTCCAGTAAATTGAGTAAAATAGGAAAGCGTATAAGGAGCGATTGACCAAATGAACCACATTTGGCATGAATTTTCCACCAAGTAATGGCCAAAATTTATTAAGGTTACAGCTTTCCCAAATCATTTTTAATATATTTCCCACGGGTAATTATAAGTCAATGAAACATGGGTGTACACAAAGAGTATCGATTTATATAAATCAAGCCAATCAACTCCAATAGGGAAATGTGGCAAAATAATCTATATATATATATATATATATATATATATATATATATATATAACCTAATATTTATTAATATAATAGATATTAACAAAATTAATCCCATAATCTTATCGAAAAGGAATATTACATCGGATTAGAAGGAAGAATGTGATTAGATTAATTAAATTCATGAACCTAACAACGCCAAAATACGTCACTAGTTGAAAAAAAGAAATTAAAATAAATATATGAATAAATAAATCCATTCGTCAACAGGATTCGAAGATCATAGGCATATAAATGGAATTGTTCAATGATGAACTTTGAACATTAGGAATGTGAATGAGTTAATTCCTCCAAAATTCATGAAATTTTAACCAAAAATATTAATTTTCAAGCTCACTCCATTCTGTGGCCTTATTAGATTAATTGGAAGTATTTTGTCCATTTTAAAACTTATAAGAACTAAACCAGTACTGCTAATAAATATGCTTTTAATATTTGAGTAATATTTATTAAGTGGAAGAAAGTCAAACTATGAAATTGAAATATCCTGAAGGTTCATACAAACTTGCCAAAGCAACGTCCTAAATTATGCCTGAGTACTGTCTATTTTGAAATCTTTAAGATTGTGGAATTACACTTGCAATTAACCCAAGTTGTGCAGAAGATAGTTAATTTGCTATCTTTGGTTCTGACGAGAAATAAAGATTATTGCTGTAATAATGAGAATTAATTATTAGAATCTGTTTTAAAGTAAAGGGATATTAAGTATAATCGCTAATCAAACTCACCTATTACGGCATATGCATATTGAATAAACCGTTATAATCATAGTGATTTTGGCACATTTAAGACGTTATTCCGGTATAAAGTTCTTTTTTAACTAAATTTCCTTCGAGAATTGTTAGTTTTCGATTAATACAGAGCGGAGGCTCTCGGAAAATGTTAAAAAATGGACATAAAATTCATCCAATAAACTGGGCTATATGATTTCAGATGCTTCAACGTCAATTTGATACTTGTAATTTTGGGCCTTTTGTGTTGATTCATATTTTTCATTAAATTTTTTTAATTAATAACAAATTTGTTCACTTACAACTTCGTTGTAAGAATTGCCCTTCAAAATTTAATTATAGTTAAATCAGTTGCAAGAACTTTCAAAAGAATTCGAGTAATTACAGACCACTAATTAAAGCTTTTATAACACTGAATACCACTCAGAAAGCATTAAAAATAATAAAATGATAACAAGAAATTTGAAACAAAACATTCTTGTGTCATATAAACCAAATAATTGATCAGCCCAAATGAATTTCACGTGAACTATCTTAAAATTGGTTTAAAACATCGACAGATTTTAGCTATTTCTATTAAGATAAGGTAGTTGTCATCTAGTCGATCGAGTCAAAATTGAGATAATTTATTCTTAACTTACCAAAAATAAATAATATTAATGTAATAATATCATGATTATATTAATTTATCCAGTACTCAAAATATAGCAACATTTGAAACATTTGGAAATTTCCATTCCAAAAGGTTCCATTTTGGGTTAAATAGATTCACTAAATCGAAATATACAAGCGATTTCACTGCAAAAAAATTATCAGGTTCAATTGCCAAAATGAAATTTTGGTAAAAGTTTTCGAATTTTGGATTCTTACGTGCTGTGGTTTCAAAATTACCGATGAATTACATTTGCCTTTATCGCCTATTATTCTCCAAAATGATCCACGACCAGGTTCATTTGATCTGCGAGCAACTTTCCGGAAGGATCGATTCAATGATAAATTGTGCCGAATTGAGTTCTAAAAATATGATGAATAAAAAGCACATCATACCTTCCACCCGTTTTGACCTTCACGATAATAAGGGAAATTTTTACAAATCCACTCGTATATCTCATTTAATGTCATTTTACGCTGAGGAGAGGATTCGATTGCCTTCTTAATCAATTCGGCGTAACTGTATGGTGGTTTATCTGCGTGCGGTGAATCAGATTTTATGCATTCACTTATATACTCCCTGGATTCGGACTGTGAAACTTGATCAAAGAAAAACTTATTTAATTTTAATCCTGACAGAATGTTGAAGCCAGGGTTGACAAGCCAATCCATAGCAGTTAAGCTATCATCAACCTCGGTCATATTTTTGGAGTATTTTAAATTAGGTTAAATATGCAACCGCGTCGTGTGGGTTAAACAAATGTGACCTAAAAAATATGAAATAAATGTTCATGTTTTATCTATGACAGATTTTATATATTAGTTATGAACTTTATTTAATAATTTCGGTAATAATATTTTCTTGTTATTGTATATTTTGGAGCATTATATAGAATTGATGAAATTATAGATAGCTTAAATTTTGTTTCCATTAATATAAACAGATCTTATGTACTGACTGAAGTTTTATACTATTAGTCTACGCTTTCTAAGCTCTTAAAACCTCTTCGATACACAATCGTACCATTTCTGATCCACAATTAATTGTACGTTTATTTATGTTGATCCACGAACTGTATCTGATTTCGTTTAATATTTACGCTAAATATCTCTCTCTTAAACCCTGTACCAACGATGAAAAACTAGTTTCTTTTTGAAGTCTAGGGCTTATTGTCCACTATTGATTATTTATACAAATACTTGACAACACAAAATTTATGTTTGTGCCTCTAATAATTACATTGTACTTAGACCTCAAGAAAAAGTACCTATATTTAACCTTATTAAATATTAAATTACCTATTGAGTACTTCATTTATAGCGATAGGTCCATACTCTTTGAGATTTGTTCATTGATACTTGGAGTAATATTAGGTGAGTGATCTGACTACCTGATCCTTCAGCTACAGAGAAGGAGATTAGTTTAGTAGACTTGATATGGTAATAATCATTTGTTGTCATAATTAGAGGCACAAATATAAAAAATCAACCAAATTTCCTCAGTAATATTATTACTCACAAGAAGAAATCGGAGAGCTTCTTTTTCTATAGTTTCGAATAATCTTTCACATTGTTCTCAATTGCACCCATGTTTGTTCTGATTTTAGAAAATGACGGTGTTCGGCTAGAATTAAACATTACTGAAAACAAATAAGAGTTGATGAAGTGAAGCGAATTAGAAGGCAATTGAATATGTCACACAAGTCTCATCGACTAAAGTAGTTCCAAATCAGGCTGTTTTCATCTGGAGTGTCAAAAGTCAGTATGAAGTAGAACCATGAGGTATACCGAATTCAGATCAAATACCCCTCGTTTCTGTTAGTAATGTTTTAGTTACGGTAACTGTTAAAGTTTTCCAGGGACAGAAGCAACATTTTTTTTACATTTTAGTTGCTGACATCTTACTACAACCGGCAGAAAACGCCAATGCGTTTCTTCCACATTTCCTGGTGTTCTTGATGTGATCTCAAGCTCCTCTGCATGATCGTTGTGCGTTCGCGAATAATTTGTTAGTCTTTAGAAACCTAAATAGAGCGTGTATTGAAAATTTGCAATATCCAACAAGTCTTTGTGTTTCCATAGCACAGCAGTATATGTGAGCTCTATTCCAACCCCCCATCGCTTCCACTCCAACCCCCCTTCTCCTTACGACTTCTTCGATCGGGATCAATTAACTTGGCTGCCTGAATTGGTATCAACTAGAAGACGCCACGGACTTTAAGTGACCCAGTAACTTCATTAAGACTGGAATAAATTAAGCTCTCAGCAAAATTTCTCTTGGTCCCGAATTTTTACTTCATCGCATTGAGTCAGAGTCATTTTTTCGCTTAACACACAAACTTCTCGACAAGTGTATCACATCCTTGACCCCGCAACAAGGTCAAAAATCAATATTTTAAGCTTACTTTTTTACAATGTGGCCAAAGCTTTCGGCTCGGCCTACCCCACCTTTCCCTTCAAACTTGGATGAGCATGAAAACGTATTCCGAAAAAAAAAGCCGACAACTTTCAAGCATTGGTCGAGGCGGACGATTAGTAAACTGTCCCATTTTTGATACTAATCAAGGCCCCCATCTCTTGCGACAATTTGGGTTTGTTGTTGTTAATGCTCTTAGCTCTATACCCCCTCTTTGGAACACGCCATTTTATATGTACGTAGGATGAGTCATCCTATGAAGGGAAGAGAATTTCAAAGAGAACCCATGGGTGATTGTGGAGGCGAGGGTTGGGTGGGAGGGGGCGTTGGGAGTCTCATTCACATCTATGAGGGTCCCCACATTAACGCCGGCCCATCTCCAGGTGTTTAAGTGACCTCTTCTCTCTCCTCTACCTGTTCGCCCTACCTCTCATTTCTTGCTTCTCCGCATTCATGAGATTTGGCGAAGGAGCAATTAATTAATTCCATTATATAAAAACAGAGTCTTCTAAATGATATCAAATCTTCTTTACTACCACCAACCATTCTATCTTGGTGAATTGGTGTTTTAAAGAGGTTTAAACGGGTATTAACAGCTGCCAAGACATGACCAATAATTATAACCCTAGGTTATTTATAAAGATTTGGTCTAGTATTTTATTATTTGGAAGGAAGTTGGGGGAGGAATGAAAGTTATGCGAAGAAGGAAAGCGAATATCGTGATCTGAACTGAATAATCTCAACATAAGTCAGGTTGTGGTATGGCGCCGTTTTGTTCGAAAGGGGTTGAGTGGGGAGGCTTTCTTCAATATTTGGGCTTCTATAGAGGAGATGAGTAATTCTTGGGTCTTGAGCTGTGGATTTTATCCTATTCCCTACATTCAGCCATCCAATCGGAACTTACGGACAGGCAGAAAAGACATGCCTCTCAATTTAACAATTTCGAAAGTTCGCGTGGCGGAGCCACTTCAGCTTTGAATGTGGAGATTTTTAGTTAGTATAAATTTTTATATTTTAATAGGAGGGGGGGGGGTAGATGTGCGGTAGACTGACTTCCACGTGATGCACCCTGGGTAACTTATGCTCATACGGCAGAAACGTCTTTTAACTGGTAGTTGACTTTTGACTTCAAACTGCCATCACCCCACTGACTGTGTCATATTTGACCACTCTCAAAGTACTCACCTCTCCTTTTTCTCTGCCTTTGTACTTGCCTGTCTCTTATACATCTTTAAATCACTCTTCGGTACCCCTCTCAACTTTTTCTCACTTTGATGTTCCTCCTCTTCTCTGTGACGCCCGAAGTCAGCTAAAGGGCTAATGATAACTGTCAAAACGCCCGCCATTTGATATAAATGTTTATATTTTAATTGGGAAGATTTTAGCGGAGTGATTGATGGTTATATTAACTTAACTTATAAAATGTGGAAATGCCTATGCACTTTCGTCTTAATTAAAAATTCCCAATTAGTTCGAATTTCCAGTTTACCTTTCATTTCATTTTACTTCAGTAATAATTTACTCAAAGTCAAGTGCTGGTGGGTCGTTTATATGGGCTGTATGGACAATTTTATATCCAATCATAAGCTAATTTACTCGAGACAATGACTTTTCCTTTAAGTTCAGGAACACCTCGAAAAATCCAAGTTCATTCCTTCCAAAAACCCGGAATCATTAAGCGCCAAAGAAAGTTCTAACCGCGAAGTTATAGACCAAGTTCTACTTAAAGGTTACATGGTTTACTGTTCCCTCCCCTTCCCTCCCCTTCCCTCCCCCTCTCTCGGGTTTGTTTGTGTGTCAGTTCAAAAGCCGACTTGGAGGTGGGGTGGGGTGNGGGGGGGGGAGGGTTGGGGTTGGGGTTGGGAGAAGAAGAGAAAAAGATGGCATTTCCCCTGGTTGTTTCCGCTGACATCGGTATGACATTTCCACCCCCGGGTAGTAAAATCGATATATAGGATGAACAAAAGAAGGAACACTATATAAGCCATTAGAGATCCTCCAAGTGGGGACTGTTAGGCCGATTTAACATCCTTCCTCAAATTGCCTTTGGGCGAAATACATGTTGGGGGCTGGCCGAGCCGTTTGTGGTAGTCGGTACTATTCATATATACTCCCTCTTTGCACTTTCAAAGAAATTACGTATCGTATTACTTGTGATGCACACCCAAACCTTGGTCTACTATGCAGAGCTTTGCGAAATCTTTATGTTGGTCTAACAATACTTCACCCTATTGATAAGAGTGTAACTTCCTCTTATAGACTCCTTTTCAATGATACTACCTTGGAACCTACCTCTTTACTCCTAGTTGAACTAGCGTGAATGGTTAACCTTCTGCCTAGAATAACACATATCTCATTTTCCTTAAACACTCCTGCCTAGATGAAAGGTAAATAATGAGCAGTTATACCAACTTTTTACCATCTCATAAACCCTGTGCAAGTTACATATCTGACCTTGACGTCAAAGTTGTATTAATAAGGTGCGAGTATCGTTTCACAATTTATTCTAACTTTTCTAATCGAGCCCCCTGGCGAAATCTCAGGAGAGAGGGAGGGGGTAGGGGGAGGGGTGGTGTTCATTTGAGAAAAGAGGGAACGAAAGACTCTGGAAGGGGGGGGGGTACGTTTTCTTATGGGTCGTTATTTGATAGTCCACGTGGGCGCTTTGAGTATATACATTCAAGTTAAAAAGGAGTTCGAGTGTGAAAGTACTTTTACCCTAAACACTTCTAATTAAATTATTGCTCAAAACTAAATTTGAGCAACGCCTTCCTTAAACGGAAAGTAAGTGTGGATGACGAGTGTCCTTTTAGAATATTGTATGCACAATCACGAGACGATGTGTCCTATACACCGGCATGACACAATATTACACATCTTTATTTATATCAAATTGCAGGCGTTTTGATAGTTATCATTAGCCCTTTAGTTAACTTCCGGCTTCACAGAGAGGAAGGAAAACCAAAGTGAACAAAAAGTTGAGAGAGGGAGGGGGAACAGAAGAGTGTTTCAAAGATGTAAAAGAGACAGACACAAAGGTAGAAAAAAGGTGAGGTGAGTACTGTAAAAGTGGTGAAATATGACATACAGTGGGGTGATGGCAGTTTGAAGTCAGAAGTCAACTGCAAGTTTATAGACTTTTTTGCCGTATGAGTATACGTTGCCCAGGGTGCACCACGTGGAGGTAAGTCTATCGCACACCCCATTTATTTCCAGTTACGCACCTCCGTCTTGCTAAATGGACTGTATTGTATGAGCAATAAATCATCAGGCATTCATTTAAAATTAGGAAACATCAAAAGACTGTCTTTTTCTTTCCCTATAACGTGGAAAATGAACACCCTTGAAGTGGAAGACACTGTAAAATTCAAGGGGAAAAATAAGACCAGAAGTCGGGGGGAGGGGTAGGGGGGTGGGGGTGAAAGATGGATTCTTCAAATGTGCGCATTTCGAGGCATCTTCATTTGACCCGTTTCCAATCCAAAATCTCCTTTTGGCTCTTTATTAGTTCCAGAAGGGATTCTGTCGTCTATACCTCCGCCAGATACAGGCATTTGGATGATATTTCAGAAGGAGGTGCGCGATCTTCATTTATCAATGTATGAAATGAAATTAAGCTGGATCCACGCCTCTAATCGCATCAAAATACTTCGTTAAAAGGACGTTTACCTTTTCCAAAACAAATGATTATAATTTAATTACTTATTTGCTTTTTTCATCCTTTAACTGCCATCTTCTCTAGTTCCCCTTTTTTCATTCTATGAATCAGCCCATCGATACGCAAACGTGCGTCATGTTTTGAGATGGTGGTGTTGACGGCTTATATTTGCAATTTAGTGTACTTTTCCGAGGTTGATCAACCGCTCCAGTTAGTGCATCTTATTTCCTCAATACAACATTTCAATTGAAATAGAATGGAGAACTGAAAGCTATCCTGTTTTTATTGGGAATTTTAACAGAAATTGGCGGAAGCCACTAAGACCTATCATTTAAAAGCAGTAATTTTCATAGAGTCATCATGGCGCATTCTGTGATTTGTAAAGACAAACCGAGCATATTTGGTTTCAGTTTAGGTAGAGCTTTGAAAGCAACGTGGTTGACTGGTGTTTGGAACTTCCATTAATAAAAGTGGACGATTAGGCTGTTTAAGTAGGGTCAAAGGCTGCTGACACGACACTGATGCCTTTTTGAAGAGCAAATATTGATTTATTTCAAATGGCAGGCGTTTTGATATTTATCATTAGCCCCATATTTGACTTCGGGCTTCACAGAGGAAAAATTCGAGAGGGGAATAGGAGAGTGATTCACAGATGTAAAGCAGACAAACAGACACAAAGTTGGATAAAAGGTAAGGTGAGTACTGTTGAAGTGGCAGGATATGACATACAGTGGGGTGATGGTAGTTCGAAGTCAGAAGTCAACTGCCGGTTAAAAAACTTTTGCCGTATGAGTTTACGTTGACAAGGATGCACCACGTGGAGGTAAGTCTATTGTGCACCCCAAAGCAAAAATATAATTATTATTTATGGCAAATAATGAAAAATAACACTTCTTTGAAATTATGCAAATATATATACAACTTGTCAATGCAGTATACTCATCTGTGTTTAATTTGCAGCAAATAATGACAACCTTTTAAGAAGTGAAAAACTGACTGTCAAATAATCCAATCATTGGTGAATGGCATGTCATCTACGACGAAACGAATAATGGTGAATATCGTAATACTTAACTTGCAACTTTTGTTTTAATCTCCTTTAACGCCTGAATTATCTTTTTGAAAAAAAATATGCGCCCAACCGCACTCACGAGTGTCTCACACCAGACTGATGCCACCCCGATG